CATGGCTAACGAAATAGACCGGGAGCTGAATGTCGTCTCTCTCAGCTTGGAGAATGGCACTGAGGGCATGATCTGAGACGGCCAAATACATGTAGAGAACCTCTTCTGCTAGAGGGCTGACCAGCCGTGGCAAAGAGTGAAGGTGCTCCTTCAATTTCTAGAATGCTGTCTCAGCATTCTCCCCCCATTCAAATCTAGTCTTCTTCTTGATGATTGCCTAGAAGAAGTAGAGGCACTTGTCACCTGACCGGCTGAGGAATCTCCCCAATGCCGCCAGACAACCGGTGAGTTTTTGGACTTCTCTAACAGTGCCGGGTGACTTCATGTCAATAACCGCCTGCACTTTTTACGGATTGGCCTCTATTCCCCTCTGATCAATCAAGAATCCAAGAAACTTCCCAGACTCAACACCAAAGACACACTTTTTGGTATTAAGCATGACCTTATTCCGCCTGAGGGTGGTGAAGGTTTCTCGGAGAACAACAAGGTGATCCGCCTGCAGCTTGGATTTGACTATCATGTCATCAATGTACGCCTCTACATTCCTCCCAATTTGATTAATGAAGACTGCATTAATCATGCATTGGAAGGTAGCAGGCGCATTCTTCAACCCAAACGGCGTCACCGTATAACAGAACAACCCTTGATCAGTGACGTATGCCGTCTTTTCTTGATCTTTTTTCCACAAGGGTATCTGATGGAAGCCTGAGTAGGCATCCATGAAGCTCATCAAGGCATGACCGACTGTAGAGTCAACTAGACTATCGATCTTTGGAAGTGGATAGCTATCCTTCGGACATGCCTTGTTCAAATCTGTGTAATCGACACACATCCGCCAGGTCCCATCCGCTTTTTGACAAGGACGACATTGGCTACCCAATCCGGGTAGTAGCATTGCTGAATGAACCCGGCATCCAGTAGCATCTTGACCTTGGCGGCTGCCGCATGAGATCTTTCCTCGTCGTGGTTCCTTTTATTTTGCCTAATCGGCTTCTTTTTTTTTATCTACGGCAAGTTTGTGGACAGTAATATCCGGGCTGACGCCTGGCATCTCTTCCACTTCAAAGGCAAAGATGTCTTTCATTTCCTTCAGCAGTTGTTGCAAGTCTGCACCCAACTTTGCAAAAGCAACCGTCCCCACTTTTACGGTTCTTTCCGGATGGCTGTCGTCTAGAATAATATCAATAGTATCATCAGTCGGCTGGGGACGGAGATCCTCTGATCGTTCCCCGATCAGTGATTGCTATTGCTTCTCTTTTTTGACGGCCACCAAGTGGTCCGCCTTTCTCTTTTTGCCGCTTGCTTTGGGAGCAGGGGCGGCTTCCTTGAAGTCATCAAGGTCAATGGGCTCCTCGTCTTGGCCAGCTGCGGCCACAATAGGCTTGACGTCTGAGAGGTAGCACTCCCTAGCCGTCTTCTGATCCCCGTTCACGGAACCCACTGACCCATCATCCCTCTCAAACTTGATCAGCATGAGGGATGGGATAATGACTGCCTTGGACTCGTTGAAGGTTAGACGGCCCAGAATAAGATTGTAGGCGGTCAATTCCTCGACCACCAAGAACTTGACAACCATGTGATGTCCTTCCCCCTTCTCTTCTAGCCGGATGGGTAGGTCAATCCTCCCCACCGGATGCACTACTCCTCCCCCAAAGCCGACTAGGGGTTGAGAAGCCTTGTGCATACTGCTAGGCTTGTACTTGAGCTTTTCCAAGCACTGATAGCTGATCATGTCAGACGAGCTCCTGGTATCGATGAGGATCCGACCCACTCGTTGGTTGGCAACCTTGCATTCGATGACAATTGGGTCATCATGAGGCCGCCTGACCATACCCCGATCCGTCTCAGAGATGAAGACCTCGGGGAAGGTGTCTTTCGACGCCTGACCCTCATCCACTGGGTTGGATAGCTTCCGGATGTTGTCCTTGGTACCCCGGATGGTAGGACCACCGCTCGCGAAGCCGCCTGCTATGGTGAAGATGTGCTCTTCATTAGTGTCAGAGCTCACAGCCGGCTTCTTGGACGGTTGTCCATTGTTGGTTTTGGGGTTACCCTTGGACTTCACCATGTAGGACTTCAAAGCCCCCTTATCAGCCAGACGGTCCAATATCCGCCTGAGGCTATAACAACCATTGGTGTCATGGCCGACATCCTCATGGAACTGACAGTACTTGTTCTTGTCCCGGTTCTTGATGGAACTCTTCATTGCTACCGATTTTTCAATTGTTAACCGGTCTTTGATCTCCATGAGGATGGAGGACCAGTCCTTGTTGAACTCGTACTTGGGGACGTACGGCTCCAACTTTCTCTGTTTCTTCTGGGACGGCTGACCAGAGCGATCCGCCGCCCAGACTTCTTTTCTTTTCTTGCTCTCCTCTTTTTTGGCCGGCCGAGCAGACCAGCTCTCTTTCTTGTCGGACCTTCTAGGTTTCGACGAGTGCTTGATGGCACAGAGCTCCTTCGCCTGTATATAGGCTTCGGCATCCATCAACACCTCTTGGAGGGTAGCAACCCTCTTGCGGACCAAGTCGAACTTAAAGGTCGACCCGTCCTTCAGACCCTTGAAGAATTCTGTGTATGCAACTTCGTCAGACAGCCCCTGAATCAGAATTCTCATTAGATTAAACCGCCTGACGTAGGACCGTAGTCCCTCCTTGTCTCCCTGCTGAATAGCCCCTAGGTCGAGACTTGTCTTTTTGGCAGGGATGTTCATGGAGAAGTTGGACGCAAACAGGTATGCAAGAGTCTTAAAATTGTTGATGCACCCGGCTCGCTGGGAGATTGCCAAACCACCGTTGGGCTATGCCCTTCAATGTTGTCGGGAAGCATCGACACCAGGCGGCGTCTTCCAACCCCTATAGGTACATGAGGTTGGTGTAAGCCATTAGGTGGTCTTCCGGGTTGGTGGTACCATCGTAGGTACCGACCAACACATTCTTAACCTTGGCTGGCTGAGCCGCCTCGGTTATCTCCCTAGAGAACGTCGACGACTGTTCCCCAAGGTTTAGCAGCCGAAGCTGGCAGTCCATAGGTAGGACCTGCTGTGCCGCCGGACTCCCGAAGAGTGTCGGCTGCATGTATGGTGATCCACACGGCATGTATGGCTGTTAGGGCACATACGGAGCCGACTGGATGATCTGAGGGCCAGTGCGTGCGGACATGCCGCGTGACTGACTCTCTCGATTTGTCTCCGAATACTTCATTGAAGTATTACAGAAACTGTCTAGGTAAGTCGACGTTGAGGCTGACTCAGACATTTGTTGACTTCTCTTCTCCTGGATGAACATCCGAGCATCAGAGTAAGTCTTTTTTTACCCATCCGGCTGAACTTGCCGAATGGCCTTCCTTTGCCCTGATTCAGGGAAACGAAGTTTGAAGAGGTCGATCAGATGCCCATCTGTCCCCTTTGGTTTAGGGTGAGGAGTAGGCACCCGGTCTTTGATGTGCTTCTTCTCGGAGGGAGAAGGCTTCTTTGCCGACTGACCCTTGTTTGAGCTAGTTGACTTCTTGATTATGTCTTTGATTTCCCCCTTAAAACTTGTCATGAATTTCATGAGCTCGTCTTTGGTGACGGGGGCTGTGCCCTCCGCCGCCTGGGGTTGCCCAGCAGGCTTGCCGGCTGGGTTGCTGGGACCAGCTTTGTCTTCAGCCCGTTCCCTTGTTTCTTTGGAACGGGTGCGCCTTGTTCGAAATGACCCGTCTGGGGCCACATAGGTGTGGACTTCATAGTCATCACCACTATCCTGGTCCATATGGACCTCAGGCTCGGTCGTAGGCGGTATAAAATCGGATGTCATCTCAGAAGTACTCTCCCCACAGACGGCGCCAAATGTTTCGGGGGTTTTTGGAGTCCCTCGGGAGAGTTACAATTCTGGGAATGCACGCCGACCGTCTGTACCTGCAAAACCACGAAACTCCGGTTGGGTGGAGTTCCGCCTCCGACGATCAAGTTAGAACGTCTCCGGATGTATAAAAGTGCGGAAAGTAAATGGGTTTTCTCTCTGATTTAGAGAGATTCTGCAATTAATATTGCTCGGTTTTTTGTATTTGTATTTATGAGTATTTCTGAATGACCAATAAATGAGGAATTTCTTCTATTTACAGCAGATGAAAATCTATTACCCTAGCAGGGTTACAGTGCTACGTGTCAGCATCCGATTGGGTCCCATTGGGCCTTTCTGGGGGCTGACACGTGTCAGCTTGCTATTGGGCCACGTGGCATAGGGTTTCTTACCCCAAACAATTACGAAACAGAGGCAGTATGACAATAGGTCTCATACATATATATCTTTGGATAGGTTTATCGATTTGTTGGGTGAGAAGTTTATCTATTGCCAATGTGGCAAGTAAGCAAACATATTAGAGATTTGTTTTATTGCTATTGCCCTTACTTTTCATAATCACATATTCACATGTTTATAGCTTAAAATGTTGATCTTCATTTTCTATCTCTTAACCTTTATCCCACTTGTTAAAAATCAACAGGTTGAATTACTAACAATAAATTGGACAAAGGTTAGAAGAAAATAAAATCAATTTTCCCTTAATTTTTTTATTGCACTCATAAAACGAAAGATAGCCTGTATTCACTCTCTCAATTTAAATTACATACACTTATATCCATAACATAAACATAAAACAACAATGCAAAGATCCATAAATCGTAATCAAAACTAATAGATTCCTAAAATGACTCCAATCAAGGTCTTGTTTAGCTCACCTTATTTTTGCTTTTCAGATCTGATTTGAATTGAACTTAATTTTCTTATCCGACTAAACTTTGACATTATGTAACGTTAATAATCTATAAAGGAAAATTATATCAAAAGTGGAGTCTTGTTAGATTCTTAATAATGTATATTTTATTAATATGTTATTTTTCATAATTTTTTCATAACGAAATTAAAGATATTTAGCGTTAAAAAATCGTACATAAAATGATTAAGTATATTCAGAACTTAATTTTCTATTTGTTCCAATCTGATTTGAAAGTAATAAGGTCATAAAATAAGGGAACTTTACATCGCCTAAGTTTGATTCAATCAACTATCAAGTACATAGTGTATCATACTTCCTCCACATTTTTCTTAATTTCACCCACACACCTTTTTACACTTTTCCCTTTTCCTTCTTGTTCACATAGTAAATGTTAACAACATTATTAAACAGAGGAAGTATATTAAGTTATTAATTCATATATCGGGTTCCAAAACAAACATATCCAAGTCCATTTATGGACATTCTACAATTGGTCACAGCTGCAAGTGGAAATTTTAATTATGAAGATCAGCAAAATGAATTTATCATAGCAGTGTTTAGTGAAAAGTTTGCAGATGTATCAGAGGAACACAAAGCCGAATTGCCAATCACAGTAGCACACAAATTTTACCAGACCTTGGGCAATCAGTCCTGCAAAATTTTAGCCATCAGCGTTGTAAACTTGGTCAGCATGGTTAAGAACAGTCTCGAAAAACTGCTTGCAGGCATTTGAAAATTCTGTCAGTTTTTCAAAGACATGCGGGAGGCTTTTTTGCAGTTTACTTAAGGTCATGGCCCTGCTAATCTGGATTGAACTCAAATACCTAGCCTTCTCATTTTCATGCATCTTTTGTAAGTCCCCAATTTTTGCACGTTTGACAGATAATGGATGCTTTAAGCTTAAACCAGATTCCATATCTGCAAACCTATTGCTTACTTGAAGCTTTTTTTCAATCTCACTTAGTGACTCTAGTTCCTTCAGCCATTTCCTCTCCAACTTGTCAACTTTTTTCTTCAGGTTGAATTCTTCCTGTTGCTGCAATCTTATTGATCGTATAACCTTAAGAAAGCTTTTAATGGCCTCTGAAACAACCTGTCATTTATGAATGTGTAATTTGAATAACATTAACAAACTCGGACAAACCACCTGCAGTTTGTGTTGTATAAAACTGAACCCAAATCTAATATGTAAATGACACTAATTAACAGCTCAGTACCTGAGCAGGTAGTCTATCAAGGGCAAGCAGCCAATTCTGGCAGAGTGCGCGGACCTCAGAAGGACAGCAGTTCTGATTTTCACCGTCTATAGCACAGTCAGTAAGCTGAATCCACTTGCACAGGGATTCTATGTAATCTCTTTGGGACTTTGTGAGTCTACAAAAACTATTGTACCAAAAGCTGACCCCACCCTCTAGCTGCATAGCTGCTTCACGATGATTTTCAGTGATTGGTTCTGTGTTGTGACTAATTAGAAGTAGCACCTGCTGGGAGATTTGAAACTGAACTTGATGGCATTCATTCATTGTTTTCCACATTTGAATGAGCCTGCAAAATGTCATAAATTAGTTTTCTTTTGAGGGCAAAGGAAAACTACTTGTTATACGAAGTATTTCTATGCTTTAGCATTCATCAAGAATCGACAAATGGTCCACAATTAATAGTATCGTATCAGAACAACACTTTTTTTTTTCCAAAATTCAGCCAAATAAACTCAGGGAGGCTCTCCACATCTCTCTTTTAAATCCTTGAGTTTCTAATCAAGATGGCTGCAGCCCTTCTAGGATGGCAAGTTCAAGAGAAGAAATTATTCGTGTTTTAAGGTGGTGACCAACAAAGGCCAGCTTCCTAATAGCCAACGGAAGTGATTAAAACGTACCAAATAGGGATATGTAATACCATATTCTATTCGCTAGAGCAAGACAAATGATTTCAGAGTTTCATGGGTTTTTCATTTAGCAGCAGTAAAGATCCTTGGTACTCTTAAATAGGTCGATTTGTTACTACAAATCCTCGATGTATAAAATTTCCTCTCCTTTAGACACTAGTGTTTATTTTTTTGGTGTAAAATGTGCCATGAGTACTAGGTATCCAAACCTGAATTGATAGAACTAATCAGCTAGAGTCTAGAGAGGAATCCTATCAGTGGACAGTGGCATCACCATTTGCAAAACAAAAAATAGGAAAAAACCCTATGCCAGAGGTAACAAATTTTGAATGCGGAGATATACATGCACATTTGAATGAAGATGATATGAATTACACCAAATATGGAATTTACAAACAACCCAATCTCACTCTAAATATGAAATTAACCATTTATATCATTGAATATAGAGTCAAACATATAATCTTCAGCCCAATATATATAAATAGAAGCTACTTAAGAAAACTGAAGAGTATTTTACAAAGATAAAGATTTTAAAAGTATTAGATCAAGCAAACACCATTTGAAATTCAGTCAAGATCCACTAATCTTTAGTTTAATTCAATCTTCAAATACAAATCAAAATTCTGAGCAAATGAAGAAAAGAAAGGTACACTGAAGTTATCAGAGCTCTCTCACCAGCTTTCGCATGTGACTTAAAGGTTATACATTGTAGAAGATTAAGAGAGTTAGTGAGAAAGAGAACTACTTTATTAAGATGGATCACTTAAGCAGAGCTTATCAGAATGAACTTAAAGCAAGTCAGGACATGTGAAATTCTTGACCTAAGGAAAATGATCCATCTATGCGCCTCTTCTCTCAGAAAGCTACCTAGCATTGAACCTCAACATATTGTCTGAAAGGCAGGGATTGTAGAGGTGATAGTGAAATAATGTTTCATGTCGCAAAGTGATGTTAGTATTGTGAAATGTTATCTGCATGATTGCTATTTAGGAGCAGCTATGCATGGCTACTTGATGTCTCATATAGGGAAATTATTTGCTTGTATAAAGCAGATACATGTAAGATACAATAGAAAACATGGGAGCTTATAAATATTTCCGGTCCCTTGAGACAAAAGTAGCATGCACTTATGGTTTATAAGAGATACCCCTTTTTGTTCCAATTTAGCGTTCCCCTCGTCTTTTTTTGTTTGTCCAATGTAGTTTTCTCCTCTCTATTTTTGGCAATGGCACAGTACTTTTTTGAAATACTTCTACTTCTTTCTTTCCACTACTTAAAGCTATGGACCCACACTCTATCTAGTCCAATTACAAAAATACCCCACTATCTTCCATAATACCTACGTTTTCATCAAAATAATAATTCATAACTACACTACAACTTATCACCTAATACTATGTGCCAATAAAAACTTTAAAGGCATACTATAATTAGGACAAAGGGAGTAATTTATATCAGAGATCAACTATATAAAGATTACCCGGTAAGTAACGCAATAAGCTGAGGATGCAACTCCTTGTCTATGATTGTTAATATTGATGCAGATGTCCTTTTTACTGACTCTTGCAAACGGACAATATCAGATTGCAAATTTTCGACAGCAGACCGCGTTTTCTCTATCTTATCCAATTCACCATTATCATCTTCTAGCTTTCGTAATGATAAAGATTTTCTCTTATGCTCCACTTTTACCATCTCCTCTTCCTGCATACATTACAGCAAAATCATTTAAACACCTGAATGAAATAATGGCTATATTTTAATTTTTCCCCATTTTTTTCAAACTTTTGATAAAAATAAGCTGGTAACCATGGTTTAACATTAAAATGCTTTTATCTGTACAATCATTTTGAGTAATCTGCCTAAGATAAAGTCCATTTCAGGGAAGTTTATATTTAATCTTTGTCATTCCATAGAGCTGAAAAAGTTTTAGGAATTTGACAACAGCACATAATCGACTAAAGTGAACGGTGCAAACTTGGGAGTTTTGGCTCTGGTATCTTCATCTAGGACTAGCAGATCAAGTTCTCAGAGTCACAATATGCTAGACTCAATTAAACAAATGTACAATAAAAGAAAAATCAACTAAATTTTATTCTCTTTTATCTTGAAAGCTAAATCATACGTGGAATCATTAGTTTTTGTTACCAAAATTTAGCATAACCTGAACAGACAGTTTCGCTGTCCATGTTTGCCTTTGGATCTTTTGATCTTTGCAAATTGATGGTTTTTTTAATTTTTCAAATTTATCCCACACTTCAAGATTCCCAAAAAACATCAAGCATTAGTTGAATCATCCAGTCACCTATGATCACTAAAATTTATGTATGTAATATGTTTAGAATTTACCCTTACTGCCGCGTAGAGTGTCTGCTCTTCAGCATAAATTTTCTCAAGCGTGATGCAGTGCGCTCCAGGCTTGCAGGGTTCAGTTACTTCAGTAGGGGTGCTGGGCTCCAAATCATCCTTTGCCACTTGTAGTGATCTAGCTGACAAGTTCAATGGCAAAGAACTCAATCGAGCAGAGTTGTTCTCCTTCCCTGAAGCAGATAGAAAAACACAAGTATTATTAACTGTTTATTCAGCTGCAAGTTGACTTGATAACTCATGATAGCTTACTAGAGATAAAACTAAATGCTATCAATGATAGTGTTACAAAATTCCAAGAAAAAGAGTTTATGATTTTAATTCAATTTGCTACATAATTGACATTGAACCTACATTAAAAATAGTTTTCTGAATGGGAAAAAGCATCCAGCTGACAAAGGAAAGTTTGTCGGTTAAGCAAGTTTATCAGATTGCATTGAAGCTGGTTTTATCGTCGGAGTTTGTTAAAAAAAAAAAAAATCCAATTATGCTCTGCCCACCAACATGCATGTCCTATAAATTGCAACAGAAAATTACATCAAGTCATCTTTTCTTTTAAGCTCAGCAACATTCTGAGGTCAATGCCTTCACTAATTACTAGACAGCGAATTAAGGCATCAAAATCTGATCCTAGGTTGCTGTATCATGAATATCAAGTACTAATCTTTCCAAATAACTAGCTAATTCCGAAATTACTTAATCAAAGTTATCCAGCTATTGCTCCACCCAGAATCGGCTGTTGGCTAAAACCAACTGGACACTGCATTTTTGACGCACATGTCGCACACTTCTAGTTCAGAGAAGAATCCTTTGGGTTCACTTCCTAAACCATGATTAGGAAGCATTTGACCATACGCCTACTTTTCCTGTGAAAGTGCTAATAGAAATAACACCCATCTTATTATATAGTTCAAGAGGTGGTCCTTAATCAAAGTCAAACACAATCATTCTTTCAAGCTACTATTACAAATAAAGGCACTCATAAGATGTCACGCAACTGAATTACATTCTGAGTAACTTGTATTTTTTAAAAATTTCAAGTTATGGCAAGTATTTCAAGACAACCTTGTAATTCACTTATGTCATAGAACAGATAAATTAATGTTTAGATAAAATACGCAGTTCCAAAGGTCATCTGACGTAAGGTACCAACTATAATATTGCCATGTTCCCATGTATATACAGGTTTTAGTAGTCAAACTATTCACCAAAATTTATCCTTTGAAACATATGTCCCTTTCAGAATCAAATTTGTTACAAGTCTTACAACTGGCAGTTACTCTGGAGAAAGCATATGATATAGTGGCTGATTATATGTCCAAACTTCCGAAAAGAACAAGAGGTTGAAGAAGCAACCGATTACAGTTAAAAGGGAAAATATAGCATACTTTCAAACAAATAACAACAAGCTGGGGAGGCAGTAATTCAGGCCATGAATTGTCTATTATGATTTTACAAACGAACAAATATGTAGATGCATAATATTAGAAGCGAATTGGTTGAAATGCTAATCAGAAACGATAAGCTTATTGACATGTAGAAGAAAACTCAAACAATGTTGTCATATGTAGCAATATAGTAGAGGATAAAGACTTACCCTTTTTTCCTTTCAAGTCGTGATGCAAGGAAATATTACTTGTGCTCATGTCTACTAAAACTGCTATCTCCTTCCCACCTGCAGATGCTTTCAAGAAGTAATCATCAAGCTCCTTAACTATGCCCGATAATGTCTTTCTCTTCCTCCACACCACCATGGGTCTATCTACCATATGATTCATCTTTCCAGTCACCAAGGACGAATTATCATCAACATTTGGCGAATTTGCTCTAAGAGCATCAGAAGTTTTATCAGATGTAACATGCACCTGATCATCTTCATCGAACTGTGTTTTTGCCTCAGCCCAATTTTCTTCATCCATATCTTCAACCAACACACTCTCTACTTTATCTTGTCCCAAAGAACTCTCAAGTAAGTCACAGGGATCCCACAGGCGGAGAGACAGTGGAGGGGGGCAATCACTACCCTCACCAACCTCAGTGATCTCTTCTTGTGCTTTCTTGCCATTTTGATTATCTTCAAGCTTCTTTGAATCGGGACTATCAATTGGAGGAGGGCGTGGAGGGGCGGGTGGAAGAGTGAGAGGTGGAGAAGATCTCACTTGACTCTCAAACTCCAGTGACTCTAACTCAGTGTATTGTCGGAGGGTTATGCCAGTGTCTTTCAATGCCTTCAAGTATGCTAAAATGGCACTGGCAAATTCTTTCCTGTATCCTAACAGTTGTTTCAGAGTCCTCCTCCTTTCCTTACAAATCCGTACTCTTTCTTCGTTATCAAACCTTGATGAACCACAACCCATTATGCAAATGCTTCAAGTTGATTCTTTATCATTTCTACATCCAAATAACGAGGAAGGAATCATAAATAGAGAAAATGCTTCACATGTTTTCCACTTCTTTAAATATCATCCTACGTCAACCCAAGGCAACATGGTGTACTAAGACTTACAATACTTCCTATCCCTCTATCCGTCACAGCAACAGTAATTTCACAGAGAATAATTCATAATGAAGCTGCAAGGGAAAAACAATTTTGAACGAATGCTGTTATCTAAAGAATCTCAATACCAAATACCAAACCAAATAGCACCATTAGAGCAGTATCTCCTTCCATATTTCACATGCCACTACTTTTGTCAACGTCTTGAAAATTTGTAAAACACCAAGATTACAAGAGTACCAAAACTATGAAATCTTCTTAATTAAAAATAAAGTAGCATTACTGCTCTTTTGGAACGAAAAGAAATAGAAGGGAGATTCCCCATAGTAAATACAAACCATTAGCAGATTACTCTTTTCCTTTTCTTTTTTTTTTCTCCTAGATTTTGTTTTCTATCTCCCTTAAAAATCAGTTACAAAAGAAAACGAGGGAGGTAAAATGCTAAGCATACAACACATTACATTAATGATTAATCGAACAAAAAATACCCAAATATCATTTTCAAACTACTTCAGAGGAAACCAATTATATAATAAATAACTAACTTGCTTCATGTATATTGTAATTTTAATACACTGAAGGGACAGTAAAACAGGAACACTGACAAAAATTATCTACTATATGATTTTTTCAACATTAATAAATAAACAAATCAACAACTATACATATTAACAACCCAAACACAAAAAAAAAGTACAAAAAAATAAATAAGAAAACGAGCAAAACCAAAATCTGAAACAATAAAACCAACAAAACTAAACAGAATACTTTCAGAAGAATGTCAGGAAATATACCATGGTTGGAACTCAAACCCATAAATTTGAATCCTAAATACCAACATTTTTGTTTATTTAAATCAACGTTTCCTAAGAAAATTAATTATAAAAAAAAATGAAAGAAGAGTTTTTACCTGGGAAATTGAAAAGGGTTTTGGAGCTTTGGAGAAAGAAGAAGAAGAAGAAGAAGAAGAGAAAAGACATGAACTTTTTATGGCTCCAGCTGCATGATGTGTTGTACAAGAAATTTTTCTATTGTTCAAAAGTTTTATAAAGTTTCAGTTGTCAGCACCTTTAAGTCCTTAACCTTTAAGGCTGTGTTTTTTGCAACTCTTGGTAAAAGGTGGTGTTCTGTGCTTTTAAATTCTGTTTTTTAGGTTCATAGTATATCCTGCTGTGAGTGCTTTTGTTTTTATTAACTTTTATAAGCACACACCTTTACTATCTTTATTATTTTGCTTTCGTTTCTTTTAGTCTTATTCTGAACTGCTATTCGTCATTCGCAAATTACTGGGTGACGTTCACATTTTTAATTGAAATGACATTTTTGTCTTTGTGGGTATTTTATCTATTTAAGGGTCCATCATGGGTAAATTTAGTTACCGACAACATTAAAAACATTACCAAGCCCACCACTTGTGTTAAAAAAATCCCGAGCATTAAAAAATCCCGGTTCCACCATTGTACGGTAATCCCGAGGAATTTAAAAATCCCGGGCCAGAAAAGGAAAGTGTACGGAGTGATGTTTTACGATGGACGACGACAACGTTCACACGCCGGAGGGTTCGACGGAAGAATCTGTAAGTATTTCGGAATATTTTTTTTTGTTTTGTAAATAGGACATCCGCTTGTTTTTTCCGGAAATCTGGGGGAGATCCGCCCAAAATTTCCGGATGTCCCCAATAACATCCGGAAATTTCAGGCAGATGTACACATCCGGATGAAATTTCCGGTTGTAATTAGGGACATCCGGAAATTTTGGGCGGATCTCCCCCAGATTTCCGGAAAAAACAAGCTGATGTCCTTTTTTTTTGTTTTTTTGTTTTTTTTTTTTACGTAATTGTAATTGTAATTGTTATTATTATTATTATTATTATATTTTTTGTATTTATTATTATTATTATTATTATTATTATTATTATTAGTTTTGTTAATTTTGTAAATTTCTGTTATGATTATGATTATTATTAATATTATTACTACTATTATTATTACTATTGTTGTTATTATTATTATTATATTAGTTATTATTTGTTAATGTTACGTAGTTATTGTTGTTATTATTATTAATATTATTATTGTTATTGTTATTATTATTATTATTATCATTAGTATTATTATTGTTATTATTATTATCATTAGTATTATTATTGTTATTGTTATTATTATTATTATTATTATTATTATTATTACTTTTAATACTATTAATATTATTATTGTTATTATTGTTATTTTTATTATTATGATTATTTGTATTATTATTGTTATTATTATTGTTAAATTTAAAATAGTAATCCTTGCGTGTTTTATTTGTTTGTATTGTTATTTTGATAGGATTCGGAGGTTGAAGACGACGGTGACGTTGTGAATTACAGTGCACATTTTGCGACAGACACGGTTTTTCTAACGTTTGACGATGCAGTTACATGGGCGAATGCTGTTGCAATAAATCTGGGATTTATTTTGGTGAAATCGTCTTTCAACAAACAGAGGGATGGTCGACCAGTTCGATATTTAAGATGTGACCGGGGACGCAGGAGTAAGCCGAGAGATATTGAGAACGCAATTCGAAAGGACACCAAAACTAAGGGCATTGGTTGTCCTTTCTACATCAAGATATGTTACGAGTTCGTCACCAATACTTGGTTTATCCGGGCGAAAGATGATATAACTGGGACCCACAACCATCCAATGATTGCGTATCCAGAGGGTCATCGTAAAATTAGTGGGTTGAGCCCGAATGCGAAGCAGGTTGTGCGTGACATGACGAAGTCTAAGGTTGCACCGTGTAACATCATGGCGACTATTGCGGAGCAATTTCCTGATGATCATCCAAACATCAGACACATCTACAACTGCCGGAATGACTTCAGAGAGGAGATGTCTGATGGGAGAGGAGTTGTTCAGCAATTTCTACATTTGGCGAGACAGAGTCAGTATGTTTACTGGGTCATGTCCGATGATGAAGGCGTTTTACAGCACGCCTTTATGGCGCATCCAGTCATGGTAGACATCCTACGGACGTACCCCTATGTGATCGGTATGGATTCCACTTACAAGACTAACCGATAAGGGATGCCGTTCTTTGAGATAGTTAGCTTGACACCAATAAATCAGAATTTTCTCGTCGCTTACGTGTTCAGGCGCAACGAGAGCACGACAAGCTATCGATGGGTTTTGCAGAGGTTGAGAGACGTGATTGGGTATAGTAAGGAGCCGTCGGTTTTCTTGACAGACCGTGAGCTTGGGCTATGTGCTGCATTGAGGGAAGTGTTTCCAGGAACCTCGCACTTACTTTGTCGATGGCACATTAACAAAGATGTGGAGGCTCGGGTCACTGCTATGTTCAAAAGCAAGAAAATTGGTGCGTCTTTCAAAAACGGAAAATGGAAACGTATCATGGACGCTGCAACCGAGGAAGATTATGAGGCCGCTGTAGAAAACATGAAAGATAAGTGGGCAAGTTTTCCAGCAGTGATACAATATGTAGAGAACACATGGCTTTGTCATAAAACGAAGTTTGTGACATTTTGGACAAACCAAGTTCTACAGTATGGCAACACCAGCACTTGCAGAGTTGAGAGCCAACATTCGGCCGTGAAGATGTGGTTTGATTCCTCGACAGGTTTGGTGTAAGATTATTGAACTTCATGTATGTACTTTATTTTAGGAATTTGAGTTACAAATCATAACGGTTTTTCTTTGTAATGTGCAGGTTCTTTAGATACCGTATGGGCTCAAGTTCATAGCCACATTGGTAATCAAATCATCGCAATCCGTAATGGTTTGGAGGCTTCTAGGTCGAAGATAGGTCAAAAGTACCGACAGTTGCCACTGTCACGTATAAACGGGAAGGTGTCTCAGCATTGTTTGAAGGTTCTCGATGAGGAGACAAGGAGGATGAGGGAGCTGAGTTATCAAGTGCACGAACGATGTCGATGTGCAATGCGTGTGACCCACGGGTTGCCCTGTGCATGCCAGATACATGATTCGCTAGCTGCTGGGACAGGATTGTACATAAGGCAAATTCACCTGTTTTGGAGGACCTTGGTTATTGGTTCTGGAGATGGTGGGACGGTGCCTGGCAATGACTCGACTGAGGATGCCGCACATTTTCGTTCTCTGATGGAGGAGGTGTTTGATAGTGATCCTGCTGTTCTTCGAAACGTGTCTCGCATCATTGAAGAGGAGCTGCATCCGGATCATTCCGATCTCAGAGAGCCTGCTGTAAACCACCGGGTTCGTGGTCGACCAAGAAACAATGATACAAGACGTGATCGTTCTTATTTTGAACATGTAAACCGCCAACACACTGAACGCGACGCACGACAAACAGGTACGATTGAGTGTTGTGTTTTTCACATAAATCAGCGTTCACTAAACTATTAACTGAAACCTACATTTGTGCAGGAGATGTAAACGACATTAGCCAAAGCCGTTATCGACACATGCTTCTAGGGCCGATGTTGCCTTACATCACAGGATGGAAGGATGTCATTGGCGATGGGAACTGTGGGTTTCGTTGTGTGGCCGAGTTCTTCTTCGGTGATCAAGGCCGATGGTATGACGCTCGAGAGACAATAGCGAATGAGGTCCTCGGTTATCGAGCCCTATATGAGAGGATTTATGGGCTTGGAAGACTTGAGATCAATGTGCAGCGTATTCGATGGGACGGTGGGGCGGTTGATTCCCGTCATTGGATGGTTGCAATACAAGATTTATTTCCTATTGCGACTTGGTTCAATGCAGCGGTTATTATTCTTGGTGTAGGCCAAACACCAACTTGCTACTACCCATGCCTCACGATATTGCCGTTGCGGGCAAGAAGGGGGGTCACAGCACCGGAGCGAGAGTTTGTCATCGCTACAGTTGGGGCCTCACATTTTATTTGTATTGAACTTGCACCTGATTCGCCACTTCCCCCGGTTGCAGGTTGGTGGACCGAGCACCACGACCCAAGTGTTGACGGTTGGGATCAGCGTTACGAAGCTAGAAGGAACATGTGGGATGCCTTAATTAGATAGTGAACATGTTGTTGTACTTTCATTTATGTTAAACAATTGTCGTTATGTAATTTGCAACGAATTGAACTTAATTAAACAAAATATTAACAAAACCACCAAAACAGTTGTTCAATACTTAAAGTACGTGACGAATAAATAGTACATAAACGAAATGCGTACAAGGGAAAAAAAAAAAAGGAAGTTCACAACCCCATCATCGCCCTCCAATCAGCTCGTAGCGCCTCAGCCATTGCTCTTGTATCACGCGATAGGCTCGGATACTCCTCCAGGGTCCTGTTGATGACCTCCATAGACCGACCCATCCACTTCAATTAAAAAACAACATATTAAATAAATCACAAGTTTTTTTTAAAAAAAACAACATATTGAAAACAACATATTAAAAAAATCGGATTTTAAAAACAACATATTATAAACAACATATTAAAATAGCATGTATTATACCAAAAAATACAACTACTTACGTAATCCGTGTTAGTTCTCCCTGGCAGTGTGCGACTCTCATGTGATGACGCAACTGGAGAAACAAGTGGATGAGAAAATCGGTACAACCACTGCATGTAACCAGGACCGACTGTAGGAGCACCACCACCAAGTCTGCTGAGGGCACCTACCACGACACTAAAAGACATACCAGGGACAAACCGAGTCCACATCACAGATGTCATCTCCGGCGGAAAGTCAACCCGATACATCTTCAAGTTCGTCGGTCTCTTAGCCTTCTCAGGCCTGATAATGGCTGGTGGAATGCCCTGGACGTATCCAAGTTGCCGAACCACTCGATCAGGCATGTATGGCTCAATGATGCTACGATACTGGATGCAGCCAATGAAAAGAGTAGCAGGCACGCGTCGTGCTGGATCAGTCAAATGATCCAACCTAGCCCGAAAAGCGAGAAGGCGCTCCATGCTCTTGTTAGGGCACCCCGATCCAACATCCTAGGCGGACGCACGAGGAATAGCAAGCTCTCTGGTCAAGGTCCATTGCTGAGGCCGGAAACACGGAATGTACTCGTAGATGCACGCCTGCAGAAGCGTAAGGCAGCCAGCGATAGAATCAGCATCTCTTCGTGATGCTGTACCCAATTGCCGGTACATGTATGCTAGCAT